TGGGACTATTTCTGTGTGTGTGTGTGTGGGTTTGTGTGAGAGAGGGTGCTACTCTACAATCTGTGCAACGTATCTCCCTCTGAAATCTGCGTTTACGAAAAATCTCTTGTTTGTTGATCTGGAAACTTTAGAGGGTGTTTTTTTTTTTCTCTCAAATGTGAATAGGATAGCTCAAGGATCGAAGAGCTATCAAAGGGGGAAGAGATGATTCAATGACTGAAAGGATTGCATGATTGCCTTTGCTTTTACAGGAAAGGTCCTTAAGTGCAATTTGTTGGATACTGAGTTTAATAATAAACTTTCAGGCAGGATCTGAAAAAAGCCTTGAAAGCCTTTTCTTTTGCTGGAAAGGGTGTCATACTATCTTTTTTTGTTATTCCTAGAAGTATTTCTCAACTGTCTCAATCTTTCCTTCATTTTCTTTCTTTTGATTGTAGAAATGCCGGAAAATCTGATTGGCCGTTCACAACCACAACCAGGAACGCCTCAGCTATCGGCTACATCTACTACCTCGGCAGCTGCAGCCACTGCCGGCAACTCTTCCGATGCTAACGTCAGTAGCACCACTGGTGTATTTGCTAGTATACTCGGAGCCTCAGGCTCAGCTGGGCTGTCGCGATCTTCGCAGTCTCCTTCATCTTTCTCTGGCCTACTGTGTGCGATGGGCGGACCAGGGCGATCTGCTGTCGAACCCATATCGCTCTCGTTGTCCTCTTCGCTCTACCTCTCCAACCATCCATCCACATTGTTCCCGAGCACGCCCCAGGATCATCATCCAAGGCACTATTCGACGAACCCTCAGCCGGCATTGTCTGCAACTGCATTGCTTCAAAAAGCAGCTCAAATAGGCGCGGCATCATCAGGATCATCTTTTCTTCGCGGTCTCGGTCTGGCAATGCCATCCTCATCCGACCTTCAAGATAACTGTGCTAGTCCAAGCCCCGCCACCGCCCCCGCCACCGCTAGTGCATCTGCATCCACTGCAAATTGGATGATGAGCCATGTAAAGCCAGAGAACGGTTCAGTTGCACCTGGGCAGCTTGGACTAGGACTAGCTTCGGATCATGCTGCTTCTGGTTTAACCGACCTAATGATGGGGCCACCAACAATCTTTGGTGGCAAGCCTACCACACTTGATTTTCTTGGCCTGGGAATGGCTCCCGGTGCTCCATCTTCGGATGGGATATCTGCATATCTGAGTTCAATGCGAGGAGGGGGTCTTGATGTTGCGGCTGTGGCTGCAACCTCAACATTTGGTGGGATTAACTTGGGTGGCAGCGGTTGGGACGATTCTTCTGACAGGAAGCCTACTTTACTCTAAGCCAGAAGTTCCTCGTTTAGTTAATTAATTAGAAGCTCTCTATCCGTCAATATCATATCACTCTCTTGTTTATTTTTGAACTCGGGGAGAGGTTTTTTTGTTTATATTTTATCCGTAGTTGCTTGCTTCCATAAATAGATATATAATATATATTTTGTAATGTATATGTATGAATGTAGGGTAGGCATGATCATGGAACTCCCTCTGCAGTTCAGTTAATTATACTTCAGTCTTTTTTTTTTTTTTTTGTTGGCTACCACCCAATGTTGAGGCGGCATACTTTTTCTTCTCCTAACGGGGGATTATGAGAATGTTAGAAAAGCTTCAGTTTCTGTGTGTGGATTAGGAATGGATTAATCAGTGTATATATTATCATCATTAGATACATTATGGGAGCGTTATTGGCGTTTGTTATGCATGTGGTTTAAGAAATTACCATATGAAGGTAAGTTGGATCCTATGTTTTACTTCATGTAAATGTATTGTATGTTCCCTTTTTTTTAAAAAAAAAAAATTATACTTGGTTTCATATGAAACTGAGAACTGGTTTCGGGGGATATAAAAATAGGAATATGTGAGTCTACCATTTTTTTGTTTTTTGTTTTTTTGGCAACAAAGTAGTAGTAATATGTAGAGAAGGTTGTGTAAAGATGCTGCAAATGCATGGATTTGAAGTTGATTAAAAATTACTAACTAGTAGTAGTTACTACTTTGGGATAGAAAGTAGAAACTGGGATAAAGGTGAAAATGGATGGATTCCAGCTCAGCCAAGGCATATTGATAATTGATGGATGAATGATGATCAAGATCCTCATAAGAGAAAACCACTATTAACGATCAAAAGTTGGTCCCCTTCCGCTGACAAAATCTATATATAACGTGCTCCCGCGGAGTTATCCTCGTGCAAGTTCAACGGAAGTACTCATTGCAAATTACAATGAGGGATCATGTTACAACAGTACTTCCGTTACCCACCAACCATTGCACTCCCTTCCTTATTATTATTATTATTTTTTTGTCAAATCACTGTGGATATCCGGATTTACATCCGACTAATCTCACAGCGCTACAGCAGAGCGGGTCCGACCGATGCTGAAGAAGATAACAACTGAGTTGCTGTTCGGGATCGATTCCAGGTAAAACTCATCTAAAGAGGCTACTTTCACCAGCAGACCAACCCAGTGCGGGCCGCTCATTTCCTTACTTGCACCTTCAATTATGCTCCTTTCTACGGTAGGACTCGCCAGTTGCTAAACTCCAAACTTTTGTTACCCCTTCTTCTTTTTGTTTTTTAAACATTTTTTCTTTCTGCAAAGGAGAGATATAAATTCAAAACTTCTTATTTCTGAAATCGAAACTCTCGTTACCTTTGTTATTTATTGATGATGATGATGATGTAAATAATTTGTTATTCACCAAAATATGTTTAGCTCAATTTGGTGATGGTAACTGGTAAGGTAGAGTCACTACTTTCGAAGGGCACACAATAATTTGAGTTTCATTTCTGATACTATAAGGAATATGTTGGAAAGTATGTGTAAGGACCATGATGTAAGTCGCGTCCTGTACCGTAATGGTCACGGGAGGAAAATCCTTCCAAATTTTTATTTACATAAAAAAAAAAGGGTCCATCTTGAGTTCGAAAAAGCGTTGGAATTGTGGACTGGAGACAGCTCAAATGTGGGGACTGGGGGACACAAGTGCACTGTGGCGGCAGGAGGGGGTTGGGAGAGGAAGTGCTATTAAATTGAAGAGTACCAAATACTTCCTCTCTTAGTGTTGAACCGGACAGGACGCAGCAGGCGATGATGTTGTTAGTGGTGGTGGTGGTGGGGTTAGGATCCTCCGGTTGGATTTCTCTCCATTCATATATTTGTTTATTTATATCTAAATTTAAATAATGTTATAAAATTATGCAATTATGTCATCACTTTTTTTTTTAATCTCTAGATTAATATGCTAAAAAAAATGATATATTTTAAAAATATTTTGACATCCAATTTACACGAAATTAATATTTCAACGGCAAAAATGAATCAGAATTGTGACGAGATTTGCAATGATTAATCAGACATCAAAACTCGGTCAATTTCATACGAAACTTTATGTATCATTAATACAAGTAATGAAATATATTATGAACGATGTTGATTTTTGAAAATAAATTTAAGATAAAATTTATCAAAGTATTATGGAGAGAAATTAATTATCTTCAATGCAATTCAATTGAGTGAAACCTCTAGTCCGGTGGTGGTGGAGTCGGGTCCAACTCCCGAGCAGTCAAATTTGGAATCCGAAATTAACAAAAAGCAAGCATTTGCATGTATGACCGTGGTTGGCTCAGGTCATTGGATCAGAAAGAAAGACCAGACGAATTTAATGCAAGGGTGTCGAGTCTGCATAGACTCCTCGAGAGACCGGAAGGATGGATAAGTCCCTCTCTTCTCTCTGGCATGGCTTGGACTAATTTCATCTTGGCTATTTTCTTTCTTTACTTTTTGTTCCCATTTAGATGTTCCGTTGCCGACTCCTAGAATGGGGGAGATTTGCCTGATATTTGTTATCAATATATATCACCTCGTCCCCTGTTAGAGTTTTCTCTCATTAATAGCCACAAAAATACTCGGAATAATTATCGACGAGAAAAAAAGTTCATAATCTTTTTTTTTTTTTTTTTTCCTTCTTCTGCCCATTGGCCATTTCTCCCCGAGCCCCAGCTTATAAGATGGGCCTTTTCCACCGATACAACAGCCATCCATTCTGGGTCATCCAATTTTTCTATTGTGAACCTGCATACAAATAAATAGAAGGAGGCCGATTAATAAGCCCAATAAGCCATCGTCCGTCAAGAAAGGGTGCATTGCCCTGAAGGATCTTAAGAGCAAGATGTGGATTTACGACGGAAAAATGTGAATTTAGCTCCTCCTATGCCAACATGGGATGTACAAATCCACGACTAGTGTAAACAATATCACAATTTTTGTACAAAACACATATACTCGTAGCGTGCAGTAACATGACAACTTTTGTGGTTTGAAGCTTCAACTGTTGAGATTTCACCATTTATAGTAGTTCTTATATATAATATGATGAAAAGTCTAAAGCTAAATAAGGTGTGACATGGGTACATATCTGCCCATGGCAGAGCTCAGTGTCACCTAGCAGGGGCAAACATGTGTGTTTGGATTTGAAAAATTGCTACATTTCTCCGTAGACACGCATTTTCGAATCACCTTTTTATCTTATATATATTAAATCATATAGTAATTTTGCTACAAAAAATTCAGAAAAATACAATCCAACCCCTCCCCTCCCCGCGCGGCTCTGTTCTGAATTTTCTGAAAAATACTACAATTCTCCCTTGGTATTGCCCCTCATAGTTTGAAAAATTCTCGCATTTCTCCCCTAAATAACTATATGTTTTGTAGGTGTCTCTCCTATGTTAAAGTTGCTTTGGAGCTATTAAAGTAAAAATTCGGTGCAAGTTGAAAAAATAACTTCTAAAAATTTAAAACCAAGAACTCATATTAAATGCATATCTTAATGATGTAATGCTGAATTAATGAAACAACTTACACAGCATGCTAGAGCTAGACCGACAATAATCGAATTTAGAAGCCAAATCCAAATGGATCGGATCCTGAACTGGCATCAATTTTCTTTCTCCCCTACGTTTGACTCCTTGTACAGATTAGTTTGGGACTTTGGGAGTCTTGGATACTCTTGCCCCCTTTTGGCAAGTCTATTCCGATCAGTCCCCCTCTTACGTTTCCCTTTCACTTCTGTCTTTTTTGTCTGTACTCTTCTTTGTGCCTCCCCAGCCTCAAGTACAGATCCAGTTTGTAGTTTTGCTTTGCCAATCAGCTGGCCTTTGTCACCCGTCACCTGTACTTGTAGCTTAAAGCTTCAAATTCATTAATATGCCCAAACCTTTTCTCCTGGAACTCCCGCCTACGTTACAATTTGCAGAAATTGTGTCCAAGTCTCTCTCTTTTTCTTCCAACGGAGTCATCAAGATAACTCAATTTGCACTACTATATTTTTATTTAGTCCAATGATTCAACGCCTTGCTGAAGTTTGATTAAGCTACAGACCCCACCATTTCATCTTCTTTTTCCCAAGTCCAAAGACTCCAAACCATCTCTATCTACCTGTCTAAATTCTCGCACACTCTCTAAAATAACACAGCACAAAAAAAAGAAAAAGAGCTCAGAACCATAAGTTCTCTCATTTCTCACTGCCAATATGCATCTTCTATTACTCCTGATCTTGGTTTTACTCATTAGCTTCATCTTGAAATTTGTGTATTCGATCATCTGGGTCCCATTAAAAATTCAACGTCACTTCCGGAAACAGGGGATTGAGGGTCCGGACTACCATCCAATCTTTGGAAACACGGCCGAGATCAGGCGGCGGATGATCGCTGAAGCTGAAGCAGAGCCCATATCTTTCGTCTCTCATGAAATAGTTCACCGGGTGATGCCACACTACTATAACTGGTCAACGCTGTATGGCAAGACTTTTCTATACTGGTTCGGGCCGAAGCCCAGATTGGCGGTAGCCGACCCAGACATGATCAAAGAGATTTTGCTCAACAATACCGGGTCCTATGAGAAAGTCAAGTTCAACCCTTTGTCTAAGTTGCTATTTGGAGAGGGACTTGTTAGGCTGAGTGGTGAGAACTGGGCTGTGCACAGGAGAATCACCAGCCAGGCCTTCAATATGGAGAGAATAAAGGTAAACTCTCTCCTGACAGCTACTTAAATACTGCTTAGGACTTCTTTATTTATCTATTTGTTGATCTGACACCTTAAAAATGGACACAAATCGGAAGCACGATTTGTCCAAGTAGGACATGTGGAAACTAGTTATCTAAATATCTCCTTAAAACTAGGAATTTGGGCATGGAATGAAATAGTACTCTGGTGAAATTCCATTTTGTTTTCTTTGGAAGAAGAGTGCCAAGCCAGTGAACAATGTGATGATTCTAATGCAGCACTCAGCTGAGTGATTCTGGGAACTTCTGAAAAGTGACATATCCTGCTCTTTGATTGGTTTCGGGATTTGGGTATTGGGTTGCCTGACTACAGCACTTAAATGTGTTTAATTTTAATAGGATTGGGTTCCAGAAATGGTGGATAGCACTAAAATGATGCTGGACAGGTGGGAGAAAGAAAGAGGAGAAAGAGATGAATTTGAAGTGGACGTGTTTAAAGAACTGCATAACCTCTCAGCTGATATCTTATCAAGAACAGCTTTTGGAAGCAGCTTTGAGGAAGGGAAGCGTATTTTCCAGTTACAAGACCAGCAAGCGAGCCTTGTTTTGCAGGCCATAAGAAGTGTATACATACCTGGATTCAGGTATTACTCACTCCCCTCATGCCGATAAAATGCTAGAATCTTGTTCCTTTCTTATCATCGGAGGGTAGTTCGACAAAAACTTTTGATATTGGACCAGTAATTTCAAACATTTGGAAAATCCTGACAACAAGAGCTGATATTCAACACCCATCTGTTGTGTGCTACTGTCAAGAACTTGATTTTCCAGAAAAGTTATGGCAAATGGTATGCCAAAGTTGCCAGAATTGATTTGGTCATGTTCTAGGCCATCAAAACAAGATAACGTATTAAAAGTTTTTGCGTGTCCTTTGATAATGTTGTTCACATTTATAACAAGAAATTCGGCATGGAGGTGGCTTGATTAGTGATTCTATTCTTTCCAAGGAATCACTAGTTTTTGGTAATTTGGCAGTAAGACTAAATGCTACCTTTTTCTCATTGTCTGACCATGTAACTGGATGCAGGTTTTTGCCAACGAAGAAGAACAGAATGAGGAGAAGGTTGGAGAAGGAAACTCGAGACTCAATTAGGAAATTGATTGGCAATAGTACCAATATTCAGGAAAACCCAAAAGCTTTGCTTGCATTACTAATGTCTCCATACAAGAACCAGAATGATGAACAGGAGAGATTGAATGTGGAGGAAATCACAGATGAATGCAAGACATTCTATTTTGCTGGAAAGGAGACAACTGCTAATCTCTTGACCTGGATATTCATCCTTTTAGCATTGCATCAAGATTGGCAAAACGAGGCAAGGGAAGAGGTCTTAAGCACATGTGGAGACAATAAACTTCCCTCTGCAGGGAATTTAGCTGACCTCAAAATCGTAAGTTCAGTTTTATGTCATCCTATCACCTTCAGTTATTAGGCTTGAAATGAAATCCATATCTTGCTTCACCAGTTCTGTTGCTTAAGATGGTACTGAAAATTGTTTTAACTAGCTAGTAAAAAATGGTGGACGACTTGGTAATGCTTTTTTTATTCTAGTGACCATAGTCCATTTATATTGCTCTGACAACAATGGATCATAATGTAACTTTGTTATTGGCTGACTCGGCACAATATTTGTAAAATGTGTTTTCCAAAATTTTGGAGCACTTTGATTTGCAGAAGCTAAGCAGGATAAGCTTTTGGTTAAACATGGTTTTTACTATTTTGAACTTCAAAATCACTCTAAGCCTGGTGTTTAGAGTTTGGTTCTGATGTACATTCTGTTCATTGACAGGTGAACATGATTATAAACGAAACTCTGCGACTTTACCCCCCAGCTGTGATGTTGATGAGGCAAACATCTAAGGATGTCAAGCTCGGGAGCCTCGACATTCCGGCTAATACCCAATTCTATTTGGCCATGACTTCTGTACACCATGACCCTCAAATATGGGGAGAAGACGCAAACAAATTTAACCCTCTGAGATTCGCTAACACTAGAAAGCATATAGCTTCATTCTTTCCATTTGGATTGGGTCCAAGAATTTGTGTTGGTCAGAATCTGGCTCTGGTTGAGGCAAAAATTGTCCTGGCTGTTATCATCAGACAATATTCTTTCGTGCTTTCTCCATCTTATGTTCATGCTCCCATGCAAGCTATGACCCTACAACCTCAGTACGGTGCACAGATTATCTTTAGCAGGATTCAACGCTGAGGTTTACTCGTTTCGAGTGTTCCTTTCTTTTTCTTTTGTTTTATTTCCTTTCCCCAAACAGGTTTAAGCGTATTTATTCCTATATGTTAGCGGAGTACGTGCGGTTTTCTTATGTAATTGTAATAGAACTGTAAAAGTGCCTGTAACTGCAGCACCATATACGTTTTGTGATCGAGTATGAAAACAAAATCAGTGCTTTATTAGGAGAATTTAGTTAGGCTAAACCAAAGAGAAAAGTTAATTTGTTTTGGCTGTTTACATTTTACGCAATTTTCACCCTTTACAGCATTTCATTCAAGATCAATGTTTAGAAACAAAAAAGTTGAGTGATTAACTGAGGTATGGGATCTGCATTATGAAGAAATGAATTGCTGAAACGTTTTTTATATATCTTTGTTGAACCCATTTCCTTGCACATTTATATCCTTTCATCGAATTGGTGCCATTCTGATTCAGTTCTGTAGTATCTTTGATGGTTATCCTTCTTTGCTAGGCGCATTTGCACTTACTTTCCCAGCTTTATCATAAAATTTTGGTAAAGAACCATAGAACCCAAATGTGATCTTCCAAAATGTTTACTTCCTAGTTCCTACAGCTACATGGAAGTTCAATCACCCCTCTGCAATTCCTCCAAGTTCCTGCCTCCAGTCTGAAAAAGCTGATTACTTTATCGTTTTCGTCCTTTCTTTTAGCTAAATCAAAAGGAAAAAAAATATAAGATGGACGTATTCTTGTCCTTTCTTTTATTTTTCAAAGGAAAATGTTAACAATATCCCACTTTTTATTAATGGCACTCCCACTATTTATTTTATCACATAGTCTAATAAATGAAAATCACATTATAGGATAAGAATCATAATGAAAGTGCCATTAACAAAAAAGTGGAGTGTCATTACAAATTTTGTTTTTTTGGGATTGGGATTGCTTTCATCAGATTGCAAACCTTGGTGGTTTATCCCACCACCCATCATCATCTAAAGTTATTGGCAGATCAATCTTGGCCAGCATGCAAGCCACATTTTAATACTCTTTTAACGTAGCCACATTTGGGATAGATTCCTTTTTTTCTGCTATTTGTTATCGTTGGTCCATTATTCTCGAACTTGACCTAAGAATTATGATACCTAAAACTTCTTGTGCATTTCCTTGGGACATGGACTGGTGGTGCACATGCCAATTTAACTTTTCAATGCGTTTTGATATTTTATAAGTTTCATTAAGCAAATTAATAATGTGAGTAGGTAAAACAGTAGCTGATCAAATTTAAGGCTTCATTCATCGCATTAACGGGTTAAAGCAATACAACCAAAAACAAAACAGCGGCCTGACACAATTTTAATCACGGATTTTGGCAAATTGGGTTGTGATGCAAAGAAATAAATTGTTTAGATACTTAGTTTATAAAATTATGCCATTGTTAAATGTACGTATCTGTTTAAAATTTTTGTGTACGATCAATTATTAATCAAGTACTCTTTCTCAACCACTTGCGGCGGCTAACTGTTGAATACATTTTTGTTTTGGGTGGCGCAATTTAAAATTAGTATACATGATGCTAACTAATCAATCGTTGATTTGATGCTCGACCACTATATATGATGCTTTCGGAAAAGATGCGACCTACGATCTTTAGTATTTGTCGGGTGAAATAATTTATTACCACGACATAAAAAGATTTAGTGTAATCTTTCCTCTGCACTGACTGACAGTATATACATTATTATTGTTGGATCCATGACATGTGTGCAAAAGTTTCAAATTTTACACAGTTATCATTCATCCAACGCTGACGGTGCAAGTGTAGGAAAGATTAATCATATACATTGGCAGGCTATCTTAATTGTTTCCTGTCGACGCTAGCTGCTAAAGGAGGAACAGCGGTTCATGTTTTCTGGATATTCTCCGCACGAATGTGTGCTGACTTCATTTTCAAGGTTCTTCATGATCATGAATACAGAAAATGTTACCGTCCCTTTCCCTTAGAGTACGATATCCATGATTCTAATATGCTTATATCTTGTCAAATCATTTAGTGATTTAAACTCTTAAAGTAATTTAATTATGATTGATAACTCTTATAATGTATTCAGTGGTGAATTTAATTTCATCGGTATACCATACAATCTAATAGTATGATTTTTTTTATTTATTTTGAGTTAATTTTTATAATAATTTAGTACAATTTAAAGGCTTGGGCCTGGGGTTGAGAAGAAGTTGAAAAAAAAAAATAAATTTTTAGCATATAAAATAGAATTGGTGCTACATAAAAATACCCCAGACAATTAGTAGGGTTTACCTCAGACAATAAAATGTGTGCTATGTACAAGTTTTTGCCTGCATATGACAACAGAATGAGCTGGGCAATATTGAAGAAAATTCGAAACGCAATGAGAATGATCATCAATGAAGAGAGCAAAATAAATCAAAATTCGAAGAGTCTGATAAGCCTGTTTGCTTCAGAGGGATTGCCGGTGGAAAAAATCATGGATGAATGCCAGACATTCTACATTGCAGGAAAGGAAACAATTGCTATTTTATTGGCTTGAGCGATACTGCTGCTGGCGTTGCATCGAGATTGGCAAGACAAGGCACGAGAAGAGGTTTTCCGAGTTTGCAAGAAAGGTGATCTTCCAAGTGACTGGAAGATTACAAGCCCATTTCCAAAACTTGCCCCGTTTCACATATGAATCTTTATTTACACTAATATACAAAAATAAATAATTTTGATGTTATGCCCCAACTTTTTGCCAAAATTTGACGCAGCATCCTCCAGAGTTTAATATATAAACTCCCCCACCACCGCCACCCCCCCCCCCCCCCCCACAAAAAAAAGGGAATAAAAAAGAGCAAAACTTAATGCCTAAGTAAGCTAGTTTATGCAGAAGTTAATTATGGCATCTTTTTGATTGTCAGTTGTTGACCATGATAGTGAACGAAGCACTTCGACTCTACTCTCCTGTTCCATCCCTGATGAGGCATGCTACTGAGAATGATCAAGCTGGGAAAGTTAGACGTTCCAGCTGGTACACCATTCTACTTGGCCTTGGCTTCTGTTCATCACGATGAAGCTAGACCCAGGGCTTCAATCCACAAAGATTTGCTGAGCCCCGGGAGCATTTGGCCTTGTTTTTTCCCATTGGGTTTAGGCACCAGAATTTGTGTTGGTCAAAACTTTGTCCTGATGGAGGCAAGGATATATAATCCTAGCTATGATTCTCAAAAAAAATTTGATTTTGCAGTATCACCTTCGCGTGTTCATCCTCACCCTCCCGTCACCTTTCGCTTTCAGACTGTACAGGCCCAATACAGCGCCCACGTTCTATTCAGGAAGATTTGAAGCCGATAATTTTTCTTGTTAATTTTTTTTTTCAAGTTGATCAATTATTGCTGAGAAGAGTTTGACCCCCCAAAAAAATGATTACTTGCATTATCACTGTATTAGATATGCAATGGTTGTGCAACGCTTCAAGCCATGAATCTCAGCCCACGTGACAGTGCACATTTGCTGGGCGAGTTGTAATATATATCGGGTGTAGTAAATTCTTCTTAAAAGCTAGTTTGATGCATCGATCTCTTTGATTTTGATTTTTGTTTTCAACTTATATTAAACATTGAAAATTGATTTTCTAATTTAGTTTACCATTTGCATCTAAAATTGAGATGTAAAGATCAAGCAATATGCAGGGGAACGAAGAAGTCCAGTTCTACTTGTCATAAACATTAGGAAAGGTGATGAATAGGCCTCTGTTACGGGTATCATTTGTTGGCAAGATTGGTCGGTTGGTAATTAGTTTCTTATAATTTCCTGCTATTTGATTCCTGATTCCGATCTATTAGGAACTAAAATATAGTATACACAGCCATACACGACTGCCAGAACCACTTTTTTGGGGTAAATTACCTTTTATTCCCCATAGTTTGGTGCTTTACCACATAAATCCCTATAGTTTAAAAACCTACATATAACTCCCTCATAGTTTGGGTTAATTATCACAGTTAGATTTTTCATTAAAATTAATGATCAATAGTAAAAAGTCGAAGTTAAACTAATAAACTGATAGATTTATCCTTTCATTATTTCTTTTTTCCCTCTAAACATAGAAAAGAAGAATTTAAATAAAAACTAGATAAATAAGAAATTGAAAATACCATTATAGATTTTGTTTAAAAACCTATAATGATATTTGTAGTAAAAAAAAAGGTTTGGTATTTTTTGTTTCTTATTTATTTGTTTTATGTTTCCCTTCTATCTCTTTTGTTTCTTATTTATTATTTTTTATTTCCCTTCTATCTCTTTTGTATTTCCTAACAATTAAGATTTGGTAGGCCAAATTAAAGTATAGGTAGAGAGAGAAGAAAAAAAAGTAGTGAAAGGATGAATTTACAATTTATTAGTTCGATTTTGATTTTTTACTATTAATTATTAGTTTTTACAGAAAAACTAATGGTGACACTTTATTTCAAATTATGAGGGGGTTATATATAAGTTTTTAAATTACAGAGGGTTTATGTAGCAAAGAGCTAAATCAAGTAAAAGGTACTTTATCATTTTTTTAGTCTGGAAAGACAAATATACTGATTAAATCTTCTTTTGCTATTCTATTATTTAGAAGCGAAATTCAATAGTAAATAATACCCAGCCAAACAAAAAAAAGTCTTGCTACAGTATTGCAATATTTAAGGAGGAAGGACCATCTCGTCTTCGTCTTCACATACTAGTTCACGGTGCAGAACTCCCAGGAGACTACTGGTAGCCAGATTTTAGAGCTAGGGGATACTGTACTTCTTTTGCTCTCAAGTCTGACCAACACAATGCATCCCTTCTTTCTTCCAATTCTGATGGTCCTTTTACTACTACTAATCCTCTTGATCAAGTTCATATACTCCACTCTTTGGGTCCCCTACAAAATCCAGAGACACCTATATAAACAGGGCATCAGGGGCCCTGGCTACCGTCCGATAGTAGGAAATTCTGCCGAGTTCAAACGGGAATACGATGCAACATTGAGCAAACCGATGGCATTTTTCAGCCACGACATGGTCCATCGTGTGGATCCATGTTACCACAAGTGGACTTTCATGTACGGGAAGACCATGCTTTTCTGGCATGGCTCGACCCCGCGGCTGGCTCTAGCCGATCCCGAAATGATAAAGGAAGTTTTGCTGAATAAATCCGGGCACATCGTAAAGGTTAAGCTTACTGAGAAATTTCTAAAATTATGATGATTTTTAAAAAAAATTCTACAAAAGGGGCATTTTGTGTATGATTTTCTATCCTTGGGGTCTTCGCATTTAGCAAATGCGAGTTCTTTTAGCTCACATTTGCTAAATGCGAAGTCCCCCTGAATTTTTCCATTACCGAAATTAGAAAAAAAAAAAAAAAACAAAAGCAGACCTCGCATCTGTGAAATGGCAATGGCAGCTGAGGCAGAAATGGCAGCGCAATGGGGCACAAAATTGGTTGGGGATGACTGCTGAGGCAGAAATGGCAGCTGGCTGGAGTGCAAATAGTGTCTGGTGGAAGGTCAACAATGGTGGACAACAACCGACGAGAAAGACAGAGAGTGAGGGATTTCGGGCAATTTCCTCTTGGAAGCTTGGACTGGTGTCTAGCTAAGCAAAGACAAGAGACAGTGAGCTGGATGTGCAAAGTTTCGTTCCAATTTCTGTCGCTTTGCTCACGGATTTGAATGCCGAATGTTTGATGTAAAGAACGGAGCTCTGTTTTTGGGTTTAGGTGAAAGAGACAAAGTAATGTCAGGTACTACCTCGCATTTTTTAAATGCGAGGTCTTCGATCTCTTTTTCTTTTTCTTTTTTTTGTATTTCGGTTGTTGGAAAATTCAGGGAGAGTTCGCATTTGACAAATGCGAACAACCCTTTTACAGAATCTCATACACAAAATGCTCCCTTTGTAGAATTTTTTGAAAAATCATCGTAATGTTAGAAATTTCTCTAAGCTTACTCCACTGGCTGAGCAGCTCTTTGGGAAGGGACTCATTGATTTGCACGGTGAAAAATGGAGTATCCACCGAAAGCTCGCCAATCCAGCCTTCGTCATGGATAGAGTTAAGGTGATGTTCATAATATTAGTACCTATTTTCTTCTTTTTTTTTTGTCGTTTATATTTTAATAGAGACATACTATAGTGTTGAACTCAATATTTTTGAATATCCCTTGGCACTGGTCGCAGGGTTAGGATCATTTCTATTAGATTTCTCTCCATTGTTCTCTCCATTTATTTATATCTGTAATTTTATAACTTCACAAGTTCATCCGATTGTGTCATTATTTTTTTTAATCTCTAAATCAACATACTAAAAAGTGATATTCTTTTGCGAATACTTTCGCATTCAATTTCTACGTAACATTTGAACAGTAAAAAAGAGTCAAAATTGTAACAAAATATGTAATGATTAATCAAAGGAAAAATTCGGTCAATTTCATACGAAATTTAATGTGTAACTAATACAAGTACTGTTGAAATATATTACTAATAGTATTAATTTTCAAAAATAATTTTCAAATTATTTTTATTGGAGTTCTCTCCAATGCAACGAAGAGATGCCTAGTCCCTTGTTTGCATCAGCATTCCTCGCATGTCATTGGTTTTTTGGCATTGCAGAAAATTTATTTGCGGCACACAACAGAAATTTCCTATATCAATGTATTTTCTCCTTTCCGCCACAGTTTTGGAATTTTAAATTCATGGATGGGGTCCTGCTCAAATTTATGATATTAGACTATTAGAGGGTTGTCTGCAAGTATCATTGATCACAGTTGAAACATTGAAGAGGACACTTGTAGCTAATTTAGGGATTATATATATAGTTCACGGGATTCGATGGGATTAGTTTAGTTTGGACGGATAAAACAGCTTTATGTTGTTTCGTGTCTTCATTTGTAATGTTTCAACCATGGTTTTCTCTAATCATACGTGAAATTTATTTTGTTATATGTAATCCAATGCCCCATAAGAGCTGTACTTTCTTTAGTGGGGGTTAAATTATGCTTATTTACCTTATGATACAGTAAAAAGTCGAGGCCCTTTATCTAGTTTTATAGAATTTGGATGATTTCCCCGTCAACATTGTTATGCTTTAGGTTTCTTAATCCTATGATGATGTAGTTATATAACATAGAGCGGCTATAGAGTGGGTCCAACACTTGGAATTCTCAGTGACATGTTTTCCTATGCCAATTCAATGTCACCTATAATATTGCACCAAGTGTCCTGTTATTATTTACATTTTAATTTTCTAATAATTCAACTTGGTTTGGTTTAACGTAAGTGTAAAAAATAACAGGACACTTGGCACAATACTATAGGTGGCATTGAATTGACATAGAAAACATGTCACCGAAAATCCCAAGTGCTGGTCCAGGGGGTTCTTCTTCCGTTGGGGCCGATATTCATTGCATCCATGTATTTAGATAACTTTTTAAATTAATCTAATAATTTAACCCAAAAAAAAAAAAACTAATACCTGTGGCCCTTGGGCACCCTATGGCCAAACCTCTTTTTTTTTTGGGGGGGGGGGGGGGGAGGTATTCTATCTTCTTTTAAGCGGAAATGCTGGCTGCCTATGCAATAATTTTCTTTTAATTTTTCCGGGTAATGCAGGCGTGGGTTCCTGAAGTTGTGGAAAGCACTCAAGAGGTGCTAAACAAGTGGGAAAATGGGATAGGAGAAAGAAATGAAATAGAAGTGGATGTGCTCAAAGAGTTTCATGTACTGTCTGCAGAAATTTTATCAAAAACAGCTTTTGGTAGTGACTTTGAAGAGGGAAAGCACATATTTGAACTGCAAGACCAACAAGCCATGTTGACCTTAGAGGCGCAGAGGACCATATACATTCCCGGTTTCAGGTGATTATTATCGATCTGTATATTCTTTCTTTTTTTTTTTTTTTATAATGTGCGCCACTGCCCCAGTATGAATGATTACTTTCATAATTATTGACCTGTCTTGTAAGCAACAAATCAGCCAGTATTCTTGTTAAATTCTGCAGTCAATTATTCTATTGATTGTATGAACTAATCATGCAACAATTAATTAATGCATAGGTAGTCCAAGTCAAAAGATAATTTTCTTCTGCGTTTGTTGATTATGGAGTACCTCAGCCAAATTCAGTGTGAAATACAGGTTTCTGCCTACACGCGACAGCAGGATGAGATGGAACGTAGAGAAGGAAACTCGACGTTTGATAAAGAATTTGATTTATAGAGAAAAGAAAACGGGAGGGAACTCAAAATGTCTGCTTAGCCTCTTATTATGGGGTGGGTTGGGTTGCCAGTGGAAGAAGTCATTGATGAATGCCAGACGTTCTATTTTGCTGGAAAAGAAGCTGTTGCCATATTTTTGACTTGGACGCTTGTGCTTCTGGCGTTGCACCAAGAATGGCAGGTCAAGGCAAGGGAAGAAGTTCTTCAAGTTTACAGCAACGATAAGCTTCCGAATGCAGACAGTCTAGGTGACATGAAGATTGTAAGTCCAATCCTTCTGCATTTCAGATGCAAGCAATTTTAATAATTCTTGATGGGAAACTCTTGAGATTTACATACAGCCCTCAGTGATTGGGCCATGAAACTGTCTTAAAAATATCAAATCTTAAACATGTGTTTCTCACGAAAACTTTTCTAATTCCTTCAAATCTTAATCCTTCGCCATTTCATGATTCATGCGCTGCTCTTGATTAACCAGGTGGGTATGATACTTAACGAAGCACTCCGGCTCTACAATCCGGTTCCAGATTTGTTCATGGAAGCCACTCAGAATATCAAAGTGGGAAACCTTGATGTTCCAGGTGGTACACAGATCTTTGTGCCTGTGACTGCAACTCATCACAGCACCGAGATGTGGGGAGCGGATGCAAATGAGTTCAATCCGCAAAGATTTGCTCAGCCTCGAAAGCATCTCGCCTCATTTTTCCCATTCGGTATAGGAAGCAGGATTTGCATTGGTCAAAATTTTGCGTTGATGGAGGGAAAAATTATCCTAGCTATGATTCTCAAACAATTCTCTCTCGCATTGTCACCGTCCTATGTTCATGCTCCTGTCACATTTCTCACCGTCCAGCCTCAGTTTGGTGCCCAGATCCTTTTCAGGAGGCTCTCAGGCTGATCAATCGTTGCGAAAGAAGAATCTGGTGACAATAAAGTTATTCATTTGCATTGGTAATTCTCTGTGTAATGATGGTGCTACGCTATGTGTACGCCTCAAAACCATGAATGTCATTTCGTCCCCCGTGAAAATGCACGTTTGCTGTTCGCAAGTATCATCAGGTAAAAATCGGGCTTCCATCATGTACGAAGTCAACATTAATTAAGCTAACATATAATTTGTCTGCAACTCTTCTTGTTTCTGACGCAACCATTTCATCAAAAGAAGCTCAGCAAAATTAAAATATGAAAGAACGGAAAGAGGAAATCCAGAAAGGCAAGAACGACCATTTGAATTTTTAATATAGTCACAACTAGGTACGTAGGGATGCTACAGTTTTAGTCTAGTTAAACACCTCTGACAACGAAAGGGAAAAAAAAAAATCTTTTCTCTGGGAAGAGTCGTAAAAATCTTCTTTGACTGCTCCCTTGATTGAAAGCGAAATGGTAAATTACTAATATTCTCCTGCAGTTTCATCTATTCTTAAATAACACCCTAAAGTTTTAAAATATCAATTTTACTCATCTATAGTTTCATGTAAATTAGAAATTTAACGAAACTAGTCTATGTAATATCTTTAGTTAAAATATCAGTAGTGCCCTTACTTAAATGCTAAATCAAATGATGACTTACCCACCTTGTATGAAATTATAGGGAGATTATACAGATAAATACAAAAATTATAAGGAGAAATGGATTTTTATATAATTATAGGGGTTAAGTGGATATTATGATTTCATCACGCGCAATTTTAGTGCATGTGATCTAATCACTGTAATTGATGATGTATTTCATTCTTTTTTTTCATTTTACATAAAATCATAGAGGGATTATGTGACTATTTTGAAACCTCAGAAGAGTCATCTAGTATTATACAAAATTATAGGGAAATTATATGTAATTTACCCAAAGCGAAATTATATATCATACCAGGTAAGATGTTTCTTCTATTTTACGACAAAAAAAAAAATTCTATTTTATGACCAAAAATTGCAATAGTCTTGCCATATTTAAGGAGTAAGGGCCATCTCCACGACATAAGTGTAAAGTGTCCCTCAACTAGCTACAAGAGACATCTAGCTTCTTCTTTCCTACTGAGTAACCAGATTTCAGACCCAGGGAGTACTTTCTTTGCTCTGAAATCTGACCAACACCATGCATCTCTTCGTTCTTGCAACTTTGATGGTCCTTCATCTGCTTATAGTCCTCTTGATCAGGTTCATATACTCCACTTTTTGGATTCCGTACAAAATCCAGCGACATCTGTATAAGCAGGGCATCAGGGGCCCTGGCTACCGTCCGATATTCGGGAATTCTCCGGAGTTCAAGCTAGAATTCGATGCAACATTGAACAAACCAATGGCATCATTCAGCCACGACATAGTCCATCGTGCAGATCCATGTTACCACAAGTGGACTGCCATGTATGGGAAGACTATGCTTTTCTGGCACGGCTCTACTCCCCGGCTGGCTCTAGCTGATCCCGAGATGATAAAGGAGGTTTTCCTAAACAAATCCGGGCATGTTATAAAGGTTAAGCTTCCACCGCTGGCTGAGCAGCTCTTTGGGAAGGGACTCATTGATTTGCACGGTGAAAAATGGAGTATCCACCGAAAGCTCGCCAATCCAGCCTTCGTCATGGATAGAGTTAAGGTGATATATGTATCCACGGTAGTAGTTTTGCATTTTCTTTTTTTTTTTTATTCTAATATGAGAACATTTTATTTATTTTTCCCATAGCTGTAGAATTACAAATTCATTCTGTGGTCCTACTTAAATTTATGATATCACACTATTGGAGGTTGACTGCAAGTATCATTAATGAAAGTTGAAAAAATCCAGAGGACTCACTGTTGTAGGGGGATGCACCTGTTAACACTGGAAGCTAAGTCTGGATTGTTTGGTTGTCCATGGTTTCTCCGATTGGATTGGCTTATTATTCAAAAACTAATTTTTTAAATATAAGATTACAATAATATATAAATAAAAATAATTTAAAAAACAAATCATCTATACAATATATCAAAAATAACTTATAAATATATCAAAAAATTTTAAAAAAAAATAAATTCTACAACTTCTTCTACCTATCACCACTGTCCACCACTGCCATCTCCCCCGTCCTCCTTCCCTTTACCTCCTTCTTCCTCTTCTTACCTTTTCGTCCTCCATCTCATTCCCTTTCCTCTCTTCTCTTTTCCTTTCCTTCCTTGCAACCCCCACCCCTTCCCTCCCTAAATCAGATGGGAGTAAAGAAGGGGCGGGGATGGAAAGGAAAGGAGGAGGAGAAAGGAAAGAAAGAAAGGACAGGAAGAGGAGGAGAAAGAGCGAGAGGATGATGACAGTGATGGATGGTAGTGTTAGTTTTAAAAAAGTATCTTAAATTTTTTTTAATTTTAAAATATATTTTAAAATCACTTCCTAAACATCACAAAAAACATTTACACTAAAAGTTTTCGTAGAATTACAGTAAAACAAAAATACCTTGAAAAACAGTTAATACAAACAGAGACAAAAATTGCGAATGCTAAACAGCTCGAGTTATCATAGATACGATGCAATGATTTCCTACCGTGTCAAATCTTGTTATCAACTAATTTGATGCAGGCAAAGCTCAGCTAGATTTGCATCTACTCCAAGTTCGATTTGTCTTAAAGAGCTCGTGTTCAAGCCAGTTTATTTATATTCAAATTGAAGTGGAAACTGGAAAGAGGCTTGTCTTAAACCGGCTGCCTGTTTTTCCCATTTTTTTTTAAAAAAATAAAAGAAAATTTAACAAAGTTGTCCTGGTTATGCAGGCATGGGTTCCTGAAGTTGTGGAAAGTACTCAGGAGGTGCTTAAGAAGTGGGAAAAAGGGATACGAGAAAGAAATGAGATAGAAGTGGATGTACTGAAAGAGTTTCATATACTCTCGGCAGAAATCTTATCAAAAACAGCTTTTGGTAGTAATTTTGAAGAGGGAAAGCACATATTTGAATTACAAGACCAACAAGCCTTGTTGACTATACTGGCTCTGAGGACCGTGTATATTCCTGGTTTGAGGTGATTATTATCGGTATACGTTTTCTCTTCCCCGGTATTGGTGACTATTTTCATAATTCTTGACCTGTCTTTTGCGGAGTAAATCTGGTTAATGAACTAATTTTGCGGTTCCACAAAGAGACTAACGCGTGAATCATGTTCTTGCTAAGACTGCTCATTTTCCCAGACAAAAAAGCATCGACACCGTACCGCCCTTGATTTAATAATGCTATAAGAAAGACAAAAAACGTACAGATTGATCAATTATAAACCAACAGTAAAGGTGGGGCGCTCATGTTTCCCGTTACTGTTGTTGCTTCTTGTTCTTATCGGATAAGATTTGGCTTCTCTTATTAGTTTCTGATTAAATCAATCGGAAGAAAATATGTGCAATTATGTCATCATGAAACAAGATTGATTTTTAAACCATGTATTTGTATCACATTTCTGGATCTGGCAATGTCTGAGTGATATTTTTCTGTTATTGAGTGAAATACATAGAGTGCATAAGTTTTGTCTTTGGCTTCTTTTCCGCAAGGAACCACAACGATGTAGTGGAAAAAAGTAATTCTGAGAAGAAAAATGTATAAATCAAAACAAAGAGCGTCATGAATCGGCACCTCCACTTCAAAATCCGACGTTTACTTGATATTGCAATAACAGGATGTGTTAATTCTCTAAAATCATTCCACATACAGCAATTAATTGTTTTCCTGATTGCACTCTCATAAAACAACGCATGGGTATTCAGGGCAAAAATGGAAGTGATCCTGTGATATATGCTCCACCTGCAACAATAATTATGATATGTTTCTTTTGCATTTCCTGATTATGAACTACCTTAGCCTAATTCAAGGTAAAATGCAGGTTTCTGCCTACGCGTGACAATAGGATGAGGTGGAAAGTAGAGAAAGAAACTCGACGGCTGATAAGGAAATTGATCGATAGAGAAAAGAAAGCAGGAGGAAACCAAAAATGTCTGCTCAGCTTTTTACTTTGGGGAGGATTGCCAGTGGAAGAAGTCATTGATGAATGCCAGACATTCTATTTTGCTGGAAAGGAAGCTGTCGCAATATTCTTGACTTGGACACTTCTGCTTCTGGCGTTGCACCAAGAATGGCAGACCAAGGCAAGGGAAGAAGTATGGCAAGCTTGCAAGAATGATGAGCTTCCAAATGCAGACAATCTAAATGACTTCAAGATTGTAAGTGCATCTCACAACTCCATAACTATAAGTCGAATCCTTCCCCTCTTCAGACTAAGTAATTGAAAATTTTTTATGGAGAAACACTCTCGGTCTACAACCCTCAGTTACTGGATCATAAACTGTCTAAAAGGATCAAATCTGCACAATGAAAGAGAGGCCGTATCTCGGGAAGACTTTTGTAAGCTTTCAAATCTGAATAACATTGATTTTATTGTCTTGGGAAGACGTGACACCTTTTAATTATGAAGAACAATTCAGCAGCCAAGTATTCTGCCCATAATCCTTGAAACTTTTGGTGCTGTTGTATAAATATTTCCTTTTGGCTAGGCAAATATAATTGTCTGTCTATACTGTAAATGTTAACTATCCCTATCTAATGATTTATGTACTGCTCTTGGATAACCAGGTGGGTATGGTACTTAATGAAGCACTTCGACTCTACAATCCGATTCCAGATTTGTTCAGGGAAGCAAATCGGAATATCAAAGTGGGAAGCCTTGATGTTCCGGCTGGCACCCAGTTCTATTTGCCCGTGACTGCAACTCACCACAATACTGATATATGGGGAGAGGATGCAGACGAGTTCAATCCGCAAAGATTTGCTGAGCTGCGAAAGCATCTTGTCTCATTTTTCCCATTTAGTTTAGGATCCAGAATTTGCATCGGTCAAAATTTTGCCGTGATGGAGGGAAAAATCATCCTTGCTATGATTCTCAAACAATTCTCTTTTGAATTGTCACCATCCTATGTTCATGCTCCTGTGACATATCTCACTGTCCAGCCTCAATTTGGTGCTCAAATCCTTTTCAGGAGGCTTTCTAGTTGAATGCTTGTAGGGTCTGTGTTCTATAGTCTTCCTGTGTCCCGTCACAGTTGGTAGTGATATCCTAAGCTACTGTACCGCTTGGCATCTTATTCCCTGCGGTAATGCATTTTCCTTTACTGTGCAAGTTGTGATAAATTTATAGTATGCCGACTGCTTCTTCAAGAAAGCTACTTAATTCATTAAATTAATTGGTTATGCCGGCCGTCTCTAAATACTATGTTATCATAAACTTGGGATCTACTTATTTAATTCTGCAGTAGTGCTTTTATGTATTCCTGGTGACTTGAATGATGAATGATGATGTACAGTCCAGACATTAATTAGAAATACATGGTCTTAGCGAGACAGAAAGAATTGATCTTTCATCTAATCCAATTCAGGGTCTGTAAGAGCATAGTAAAAACTCTCTCTTCAACCGTTCTGTCATGTGCCTAACAATTCCTACCATTCTGCTAGTACTTGTAATCACTCTGTTCAAATTCATATACTCCATCATTTGGGTACCATTCAAAATTCAGCTGCATTTCAAGCGACAAGGAATTGAAGGCCCTGGGTACCATCCATTATATGGAAACTCTGAGGAGATCAAAAGGCAGCATACTGAAGCGGCTTCAAAACCAATTTCATTCAACCATGACATCTTGCACCGTGTGGCGCCTTTCTACAAGAAGTGGTCAGCCATGTATGGAAGAACATTCTTGTTCTGGTTTGGTCCTACACCGCGTCTAACTCTGGCCGATCCAGACATGATTAAGGAGCTTATGCTAAACCATACTGATTGTGTCGATAAGCTCCCATTTACCCCAGTTTCTAGGCAGCTCTTTGGACAGGGACTCGTGGGATTGTTTGGTAAAAAGTGGGCCGTCCGCAGAAGGATAAGCAGCAAGGCCTTCAACATGGAGAGGGTTAAGGTGATTTCCATCCCTCTTTTATGCCCTTTTCAATTTGTTTTTTCATTGAATCAGCCTAATAGATGCCCCATTTAGGATTTTAAGATGCCTGTTTCTTTTTTCTATCTTACCTTCTTTTTGTTCTGAATTATTACTCTCGCTCTTGTTGACCTTTAATTTTTGTCCATTTTTACCTTGATCTGCAATTATTGATAGAAATAAAGACTCAATTGCACATAAGCAACAAAGCATCCCAATTTCAGCTTATCAATTTATTTGTCAATTTTCTAAAACTTTCCTTCGATTTTTAGGAGCACACTCATATGACGGAATTCCCTTATCTTAGCCACTCTTAAGTACTGCTGAATCTAGTTAGAATTGGGACACAAGTTTGATCCGAAACCTTCAATGGCTCTAGTTTTCCTCTCGGTTAACATCAAGTTCCTATAAGCTTTCATACTAGCAAATGCAGATACAATTTAGATAACTAATCATATTCAATTAATTGGATTATGTATACATAGGGAGGGTTGGGGGGGGGGGGGGGAGGGAGACATTGTAACCCGCACCATTGTATATTTCCCTTTATTGGTTTTTGTTTACAATTTGGAGTTGATAACCTTTAAGAGTTAAGTGCCTGGTTTTCAGGATTGGGTGCCTGACATCGCAGGTAGTACCATGAAGTTACTAAGGAAGTGGGAAGAACAAAGAGGAGGAAGAGATGAATTTGAATTGGATGTACACAAAGAACTTCATGATCTCTCAGCTGAAATAATTTCTATAACAGCTTTTGGGAGCAGCTTTGAAGAAGGGAAGCGTATTTTTGAGTTGCAAGACCAGCAGATCAACTTTACCTTTCAGGCTATGAGAAGCATCTATATCCCTGGATTGAGGTGATCTACTTTCTTATGAATCGTGGAAATGCCTAAAGATAAGCTTAGATCCACGTGGTGTTTTTCGTAGCCATGCTACCATTACTTTTGTCCGCCACAGTTAGGTGTAGGGAAATTTTTGTTACATGTGCTTCTGTTGTTCTGATTCTGATCCATTATCTCTATTAGCGGAATCTTTCATGGAAAAATCTAAGGATTTATGCACTGCATAGACCTTCGACTTTGAGCTTGCAGGTCTGTTCAAGTGCACAAGCCACTTTTATATGTGACTTGAAGTGCCTGACACAAGTTTGCTTCGTTGGTAATGACTAGTCTATTCCATGTTTGTGAATCTCCCAAAATGGAATTAAATGCAGGTTTCTCCCAACAAAGAGTAACAGGATCAGGGAAAAGCTAGAGAAGGAAACTCGCGACTCAATTAGGAAACTGATCGAGACAAACAAGAATGAAGGACAAAAGTCGAAAATTTTGCTTCGTCTGTTAATGTCTGCCAATAAGAATTTTGATGACAAAGAAGAGGGATTAGATGTGGAAGAAGTCATTGACGAATGCAAGACATTCTACTTTGCCGGAAATGAAACAACTGCAAACCTCTTGACTTGGGCGCTTCTTCTTCTAGCACTCCATCAAGAATGGCAAGATAAGGCACGAGAAGAAGTTTTTAGAGTTTGCAAAGGCAGTTTGCTTCCAAATGCTGAGAACATGGATGACTTAAAACTTGTAAGTTTCAATTTTTAGTTAATTGGATGTTTTGGGTTCACTGGTAGTACAGATATTCTGATTATCCACTGGATAGGATTCAAACAATGTGTGGCCTTCAAAGTAAAAACTTCTCCAAACAATGACGATGCTTGTGAACTCCTGATAGAACTGCTCAAAATAGCAATGCCTTGCGTGGAATCAGAATCAGATGAAATAGAAAGATGGAAGGATGCCAACTTCTAACTTTTAACAGCTGCAAATTATGTTCTTATATAATGGTGAATTCAGTGGATTTCTCATGCTAAGATCCCGTTTTCTACTTGTAGCCAGACTGCTGTTTACCGTAATAATCACAATCTTCTCCATGTTTAACTCTTTTTTTTTTCTTCTAACAGCTTACCATGATCATAAATGAAACGCTTCGGCTCTACTCACCAATAGCCCAACAGACGCGGAGAACATCCAAGAGTATCAAGCTGGGAAAGCTAGATATTCCTGCTAAAACAGAGTTCTATTTAGCACTCACTGCAGTCCATCATGACCCGGAAATATGGGGAGAAGACGCCAACGAATTTAATCCTCTTAGGTTCACTGAGCCTAAAAGGCATCTAGGTTCATATTTTCCGTTCGGTTTAGGGCCCAGAATTTGTGTGGGTCAAAATTTAGCAATGGTTGAAGCAAAAATTATCTTAGCCATGATTGTCAAACAATTTTCCTTCAGGGTGTCACCTTCATATGTTCATGCTCCAATCATGTACCTCGCCGTGCAGCCTCAGTATGGTGCTCCCATCCTGTTCAGGACCGTCTCAGCCTGAATACTAGTGCAAGAAGGGAAGGGAAGGGAAGGGAAGGAGAGATTATTTGCCAATTTGAAAAGCATAAAAATTATCGCCATTACACTTTGAATAGCTATTCAAATATGTGGTTCGGCCAAGCTGTTAGAGATTCTATTTGCTGCTAGTGCAAGTGGAAATGGGCTAATTTTCCTTCATCCTTGTGTTCTTAGTTTTCATCAATATGTTAGGACAACAAAGGGCGGAGAGAAAGGGAAATCTTGAAAGCACAATGCTTTGTTGCTGGAGTTCTGGTGGCCTCATAAAAGATTTTGGATGACAAGCTAGAAAATACTCCGCTTACAACACCTTAGCTTGAGTAGAACCAATTTACGGTACAATAGAGGGTCAGCTTGATCACGAGCTAGAATCTGATGTAGTTTTACTGTTCTTAATCTGCTTCAACTTTTAGTCTTTAGGAAACACATGTATACTCAGAGTAATAATGAGTGAAATTACCAAACTGTTCACCAAGCATTGCCTCCCATGTGAGAGGCGAAAAATTTGGATAGGCCTGATCTTGTAGATTGAGTGATCTAAGATTGAATGATTTAAACAATTAAATTGATAAGATGACGTAATAAATTTTGAACCATTAGATCTACAAAGACAGAGTCTACGCAGGTGAAATCTTGTGCTTTGTTTATTAAAGCCCCATTCTTTCCAAACATTCAACAGCATACTAATACAGTAGGATTATGTTGCAATACAATATCCATTTCCCTTTCCCCTAAGTTATTAAAGGATGTACTCAATAAAAATAGATTGGCAAAGGTGTGAATTTTCGTTCCAACGAAGTTGTGTTATTATTGCTCATGTTCTTGAGATGGACACATTAAATTACTTGGAGATTCGCACAAATTTGTGTGAGAGGGAAAAAAAAACTCGAAAGACTATATGTCAATAAAATTTTGGGTTGAATCATTGATATTTGATACTCCCTCCGTCCCGTTTTATTAGTTTTGGTTTTTTTTTCACACAGATTAAGAAAGTGTAATTAATTTGGTTGGAAACATAAATTTAGATTAATAATTTCCTAAAATACCCTTATGCTAATCACGAAGAGTGCATTGGAAAAGCTCAATGTATTCAATGTAGTGAGTTAGTATTTAATAACAATGTATTAATAACAAGATATTTAATAAGGGTATTTTAGACAATTTGAAAGATTACTACATTCCTTAATGGGGAAGTGGACTATAATTTGGGACGGACGAAAAAGGAAAACAAGACTATCAAAGTGGGACGGAGGGAGTACAAGCGAAAAATCACATGCCAATAACTCCGTTTGCCACATTACATGTCAGAATTCGAAGGTTTGGCGACCAAACTTGGAAGTTGCACCAGCAAAGTTAGAAGGCGAGAGCAATGTCTTATTCTTTGTCACAAAAGGCAAAAAATGAAAGCAAAATAAAACCGAACTTATGGCTGTTGTCTAATGGAATATCCTTTTCCCAAGGAAATGGGAGTACCAAACCCTGAAAATTTCGAAAGCCAAGCACCAAACTTTCTAGCTTGCCACGAGATTCAAACGCGTTTCTCTACCAGAAATAACAAAAACCGGATTCGCATGTGCTACGAAAATTCTTTCCCTTCTTCCCTTCCGCAGTCCCACAAAATTGGATCCGGTCCAAAAAAATTGCAAAACCATCTAACTCGGGCCCCATCATTGTGAGCAATATCCGAACAAGCTTTACCGACCCGTTCTCTCGTTTGAGCAAAATGACAACTTCATCCCCAGTCACTTCTTAAAACGACATCCAATATCCGTTTAAACGACAGTGTTAAGACGGTACATCCACAAAATTCGGCCGCACATATCCATGCATGCAGCCAAGCATAGTCCCCCATGTTTGTTTGTTGCCATTTAGTAGAAGCTTGGAAAAAATGAGCAAAATAGTTTCCCAACCTGAATACCAAAAGGATGGTTGGACAAGCATACCCCTACACAACTCAAACTGGCAAGGCATTGCTCCACATGATCTCTTGCAATGACGGGTCTCGTATTCTATCAGCACTGCAACCCTTAAGCACTGATCTATCAAAGTCAGATTTGACGAACCCAAGTTGCCCAACCCTTTGTGCATTCAAACTTGCAATATGATTCGTCAAAGGGGCCTATAAGAGGATGCAACCTTTATATTTGCTCCACAAAATCATTTAACAAGTTCAAAGTAAACAAAAGCAAATGTTACTTGTAGTTTTATCCATAACTTGCAAATATTTGTGTTTTGGATGTAAGATTATCTGAACATATTTTTATAGTAATATTGTAACACTTTTGTGATGCAATATTTATGAGATAGTAAGGTTAATTGAAAAAAAAAAGTGGTTAAACAAACGCGTTTAAGATGCAACTAAAATTTTTTTTTTTTGCATAATATAGAAAATCTAAACACGTTATTTGACTTTTCCCTCAATCTTGGATGATTTTTTTTTTATTTCCTTTGCTCATATTTTCCCGATTTATTGAGGGGCAGGATAATTTGGATTTTCATTTTAACCTCAATTAAATTGGTCATGTGGAAAATAAAAAACTTAACTTTTTGAATGATACATCAAATCAAAGATTAATTTTAGGTTTGAAAGATGAACTAAACTATTCAAAATTTAAATTGAGATAATAATTCATTCGATTTTATTTCGATAACTAAATAAGTCAATAATGAATGACATTTTGTATTGTTTACAGTTTCAAACTTAGTTCATTCTTTGCTTAATTAGCAATAAGTTTGAAACTTGCACGAATAAAATTCAAGATATTTGAGTTTAGTTTGATAAAAACTTGTTCGATTTCGACTTTATAAATAAACAGGCAATGCTTAAACATGATTTCAAATTTATATAAAAAAATTCCTTGAGTTGTTTAGTTTGATTTGATTAAACTCATTTATACTTCTAATTAATTTGCAAATGATATTTGCACTACAAAATTACCCTTTGCGCTGCACATTCTTTCTGTACTAAAATGTTATGGTAGAATTTCAAGAGCTATTTTTGGAGTACAATTATCACTTATCTTAAATTGATAGAATTAATAGTTGCAACTTGATAATGTGTTCGAATAAAAAATGTTAGAGGACTACTTTGGTCATTTCACCAAGAACTTTTCAATTTCTTTTGAAACTATGCCTTTCCCAAAAATACATTAATTAGCTGAAATCCCATTTCCCGTATTTCCTGCTCATATCTTAGGGTTACCGGGGTGGTCGTTGGTTTCAGTAGCTAATTTAAGCTCAAACCCCAAAATCCCATCCGAAGCTTCTCGATTTGTATCCTTTGGGCAAACTCAGCAGCCACCAGACCTTCCCCCATCCCCTTCCCCAGATATTGACGAAAGCAAATCAAGGAATTTAAATTACGACGGCTTTTCATGTATTAGACTATTTCTTCAAAGGTTTTATTGGCAGAGATCCTTTTATTGTAAATTATAGTGATAAGGACAACTGGGTTTTCTGGAAATAGCTTCTTTGTCCACAAAAACTGAAAAGGTACGATTTTTATTCCCTTTTGATTTGTTTTGAAATCAGTTAATCAATGAGGGATTATTTTAAAGCTTTTGACTTTTTGGTTTTGAAATTAATGTTGTTATTTGTATTTGTAAGATGGGATTGCGTTGATGTATCTGGTCTTAGTTTTTTTTTTGAATGATTTTGAATTGGTGTTGTTGGATGGGTTGTTTATTGGTTTAGAATAAAAAATTTATGACATACGTGATTTGTGAATAGAAGATTGCTATGTGGAGAATTTAGGATTATTTAGAATAGGGGCGGCAGGACTTATTTGGAGCTTCAGTTTTTTTTTGTGTGTGTGTGGGGGGGGGGGGGGTGTTCCAGGAAAATTGGCCTGGATGCAGCTCTTGATAGTTCAATTTTAAAAAGAATTTATGTTTTCATTTTCTTGCCCACCTACTTGGGCTTGCTTTTAGGTTGTTAGGAAGTTGTGTGATGGGCGATCTTAGTTCACCTCCATCCATGTTAATGCAGGAAAGGGAATGGTAGTAATAAATTTGAAACAGTAACTTTATCATATAACAAAAATCTTTCCATTTTTTTGTTTTGGAAGTTATTTTCGTCTGACAGGATTCTGGATCTCGTTGGCTTTACTGATAATTTTATTTTCATTTCAGGAAGGGTTTTTGTGGAATCAGATTCACCCTCTGTAGATAGATGTAAATATAGTTATGAGATTATCTTTTCAGACATGTTGTACTGGTGGTGTTGTCTCTACTAAACTGCTGAAAGTAAATCTTCTTTGTTGGCAAGGCCAAGAAGATGCCATCTAATTCTTTCTCAAGACTTATTGTTGCTTGCCGGCAAGGAGTGCAGAGATCAATTTCTTCACAAGGAGGTGGGTTACAAGACTTAGTAGAGCTCCCTATCAGCCAAGCCAAATTACTGTTTGGTGGGGCTTCTGGAACAATCAGTGACCTGCATGGTCTCGTACGCCCTGGCACTCTTGCTGCTGCTCAAGCAAATTTGCATGTAGCCAACCGAAGAAAGAATCTTTCCTTTGCTGGAGCATTTTCACGTGCAATTTCTCTTCCATCTGTATCAGGACCTTCAATCCAAGTTTGCAGTTATCATATTGATCAGCTGCTCGCTGAGCCTGTTGAAGTTTCTTTGGCTCACAAGTCTCAGAAGGGACCCATGGCTTTATCTTGTTGCAGAGCTTCTCTTGTCAATTCTGCTTTAAGTGATGTGACAGTTAGGCTTGTTCAACCTGCTGTCTCAGCCAACAATTCTTTTGCTTCTTGCAACAGTAGAAATATGGAGATTTGTAGGAATACTCGCATGAGTTTGAGAAATAAAGAGCAGCCCAATAGCTTCTTGGTTTATGGATATTTCATATACAACGTGGCAAAGAGGAGGGGAAGGTTGAGTCCCTACCAGGAATTTGGATTAAGGTTTTTTCACACTTCATCACCAGCATGTTCCTCTGCTGGCACCGCTCCTGATGTGTCCTTTGATAGCTCTCTGCGTGATGAACAGCTTTCAAGTTCTGCTGATTCTTATACAGAGTATGTTCTCTCTAGTTTGTCTTTCTTTTTATGTTTAATGTCAAACTTAGTATCGAGAAATGGAAGGTTCAAAGCCCTAGTATGGCCTGATCTAGCCTACTATGTATTGTTTGGCTTGCAGAAGATTTATGTGTGTCTTAGACGATATAGCATGTGAAAGTGGGAAAATAAGCAAAGACACTTGTTTAAATGCCTATATTAGTCAAGGGCCAAAATGTATTGATAATACAAAATCACTTTTTGTGTCATCAGTCTCTCTCTCTCTCTCTCTATCTCTCTTGACGGGATAAATACATGTGCTGGCAAGTTTCAAATCTCATGAGGTTATGTCTCTCTTGATGATA